AAGTCCGTTATATCCCTTGAATGAGGACCCTCTACTTTTGTGACGATACCACCATCCTAAAACGGACATGATGCTGAAACTTTTAAAATAGCACGAATTTAAATAATGGTTTAAAATTCTCACCTCTTTTTATAGTGATGTCTGAGCTGTGAGCTGCCTTACTATTCTAGCCAGGAAAGAAGACTAACTCGAAGGATCACACTTAGTCTTCGAGATCATGCTCTAGCGGAGCTTTGAGTTCACAAGGCGATAGTCGAATGATTCACCATCTAAACGGAGCTCAGACATCTAGGGTCCCCGATAAGCCGTATCGTTCAAACTAGTCGATGATCGTACATCAATCAGCCATGATGCTAGTCTCTTGGCTGATCATAATTCAGAGTTTCTCTCCCTCCAGGCGAACTATTTGCCAGTGATTCTTTAAAACATCCTAATCTTCAGAAGGCAGTGAACAAGACTTCCACTGTAGGGACTGAACACGGAGCGTCAGGCGGACATTTTGATGGGAGCCCGGGACCTTGAAACCCGCCTGTTGAAGCGCACAGTAATTTCCTACCAAAATCCACTTCAACCGAAACCGGTTAGAGAAGTACTATAACTTATTCTGTTCTAGAGAATGAGTCCAATCGGCAAAAAGTAACCTAGTATTTCCCCCCAAACGCCCAGCGTAATTTCGTGGAAACTTGTTAGAGTTGTCACATCTTTTGGGCGAAGAAATTCATATGATTGGTATTCACTATGTCCAACTGGACAGTAAATTTTGTTTTCTTAACGATCTGTCTGTTGTTGTATTTCTCCATGTTGTGCATTGTTTTCTGACACTTCAGATACCGGTTACGGAACCTTGTTTACTTCCGACGCTACGGGTAGGGTGTTTACCGAATCCCTCCGTCAGCATCTTTATCCGAATCACGCCCCAGTGACCGATTTCTATCGTGTCGCTTCTATGCGTGGTACGTATTTGGCTACCCGACTAAATCCCGATCGTACGTTGCACACGGTCATCAGTCACGATCGTGGCGCTAGCTGGCGAGCCCTGGGGGCCCCAATGAATACACCCGGTGCATGCAAACCGACAGTATCGAGTCGTGAAGGTCAAGTCAGTTCAACACCAGCCAGCTGGACCACATTTTCACGCCAAGTACCCAGTACAAATCAGACGGGTGAATACAGTGGTGATAACGGTACTGCCGGCCAGCATAGTATTCAGTCCATATCGAACGAGACATGGGAAAGTGAACACGGGACCAATGACACCTTATCAGTGGACCCGTCCGCTATCAAGGTATGCTGTTACTAATGATGATCTAGTTCAGAATGAGCACCACGTGATTGCACATGACGACACAAAAATCATCGAAACGTCAACTAATTTTCTAGTGTGGTTTATTCAAAAAAAGGGATAAACAGTCAATTTGTGGCCGGGCTATTTGTTTCAGAATGAATTTATGCTGTCACCTATTAGCCTTTAACGTCAAAGGCACTGACAAAAGTCTCACGTGACCTCTAAAACCTCAATCCACGATTTTTTTCAATTCTAACATTCTGACCGGTCAATCATCTTCATTATTTGAAACAAGCACGTCATGCTCGACGTCATGATTACTACGCATAAAGCTTTAGTGGCTCAATAAGAGTTTTAATCATACTAGGCTTCTACCTATTGAGTCTTTCTTCACCGATCTCTGTTCAGCCTTCATTTGAACGATGCCGCTATTTACTTGTTTGTATTTTAAGCAAAATAATTTTCATTTCCCTTTCCTTCTCTTTCTACTGCTTCCAACACCCAAACAATGTCATCCACTTTAAACAGGTTTGCGGTCTACAAGTGAGCAATCAGTTTAGCATACGCAACCGGGTCATCGCCTCCCCACCACTATCGATTTCGGCCGCTCCCGGGCTGATCCTGGTACACGGACATGTGGCCACACATTTGAAGAACACACCAGCTGATGTATTTGTCAGTTCCGATGGCGGTTATACCTGGCTTAAAGTGAGTCAAGCACTGAAATCTCATTCTTACGTTCTAGTATGTGTATCACCCTATCTCTTCCAACAAGTTTATTTCGTGCACCTGTGTGCGAAGTGGCGGTTTGAGGTAATGATTAATTCTAAGGTCTTTTCACTTTGGCTGAACAATAATTTGTGCTCAAAAGAAAAGTTAAACAGTGTGAGGGTTTTCAGTGTATATCTTCAAATGGGAAACAGATAATCGTCGTTTGTTTGTTAATAATCGAATTGATTCTGCTACCAAAATCGGGTGCAGTATCTAATCGATGTCCTTTTATAGGCCGTTTAGTTTACTGCGTCGATGGTTTTACGTGATTAACTAAGGAATGTCTTTCTTGCATATTTTATGCAAGTGATTCTACCAATCAATCCGGCTTTATAAGCAGGTTGGCTCTTGCATCTGACGTCATGTTATGCACATAAAATATGTTCGTTAATTTCTGCCGGAACAATAGATCATGCCGCAACCGTCGAACACTTACAGGTCAGGTTTTCTTATTCATTCATAAATTGCTCTTCATCTCATCCTTTATCCGTTTTTCAATCAAAATTTTCCCTGTGAGTGTCATGCGTTGCTGATGTTGTGGCTGATGTCGCCCTGAGCCATAGTCGATACTTTTACCACGAATTCCAACAGTGAATAGGATTCTGAAACCTCTGTTCCACCAAATTGCCTTGTGTCATTCATAACGTGACACAGGGATCGTGAAATGAATGGTTATCCACATAATCTAGACTGACCATTGGTGGTGGAGCGAACGTGACTTCTGTGTGACGATTTTACCTTTGTGAACATCTTCCGTGGAGCTGTTAGGTTCCGTAACTGGATCCTGTTTCATGCACGGAGATTGATCACGTGCATTGTAACCGATCTGTATTCATTGAAGTACTCGCAGTGAGTAATTTGCTGAAAGTTTTCATACTTTTGCTCGCGTTTATCATGACTCTATCACTTTGACTAAAAGCATTTGACGAATGACACCCACTTTCCATTCGTAGATCTGGTTCTCATTTAGGAAACTTTAACCGTTCTCTGGTATGCATATCCAACTTTAAGTGTTATCATTAGTCCTGGACATGACGCATTTGTGCCACAGAGTTACCACGAACTCACCGGACTGAGGATTGAATTTACTAACAACAAAGCAGGGACACGTTGAGCAGTCCGCATTGAATTGTCACATCAATGTAGCCGAAAACAGTGAACCTTCTGCATAATAAGCTCACTGAGTTCACACGCCAGACCACCCGCAAAATAACACTTAGCAGGCACTTAGTTTGTTCTTACGAATTAGGACAACAGTCTGTTCCGACCCTGTCCCCCATTTGACGTCCAGTTACATTAGCACGATCTGTTTTTGTGTTCAAGCGATCCGACCATCCGCCTGTCCTCATGTCCCGTAGACGCACACGTGCGTTCAAGGCGGTTCTCTCTGTACCAATCTCCATTCGGTCATACTTGACGCCAGACAAATTATGATGTTTTGTCCAGTGCATGAATCACAAAAATACCAAGCCGGTGGAATGATAACAAAACTGTGATCGTTCCACATTTTCAAGCTGTTCATTTAGTCTGTACAGTTCCGGATTTCTCCAAGTTTCCCCCGTCTTCCCTCTCACCTCAGTCTGCCTACTTTTCTACTTGTTGACATACAAACGGCAAGTACAAGCTTTGAATGTTTATGATGGAATGGGAAGTTTTAAAATGGGTGAAGCCATTTCCCCTCGAGTTTCAAGCAGAAATGGAAGTCCCTATTTCCCACTGGCTCGGCACATATTTGCTCGTCTTGAAAGCTAACTTGTTCGATCGCTATCACTAAATTAGATTTGTGATTAAACAGAATTAAATATGCATCATAACTAATTGGGGTTCGTTTTAAAGACTAACTGATCTCCAAAACGTCGGTGTTTTAGTATGGTATGTGGTACAATCGTGAGAGCTGGCGAGCATGTAGTGCTCCCTTATCCCTACGCCCTGAATCACTGAGTATCTGTGGTATGTTTTTTGTTCAGTGAGACCCCACGGATTCAAACCAACATTCGAGAGCTAACACCGAGTCTATGTACCCCAATAAGTATTTTGGTACGGATCAGTCGCACGATGGGTTATACGATCTTTGTTCAGTATGCCGCTAGGTGTATTTCTTACACAGATGTTCAGCGTTGTATCTCAGTCTGTGATGGGTCGAGTATATGCTGCGGCCCTTCGAATAGTTCTGCTATACGGCCATTAGGAANTGCAGTGACACAGTGATGAAATTGCTTGAGGGATAATAGTTCCATTCACTGTAAAGCGCCGTAACCGGTATCTAATGGAAATTGTAAACGATCCAGAATTTAGCACTTTGAATTTCATTTTTCAAAATAAACGGAATCTTTTGAGAATCAATTATGTTATAGATCTGATTATGGAAACAGCCCTATCCTCGTGCGAGGATAGTACCATCGATTTACTCCCAGGTGGCAGGCTCTCTGATCTAGAGTATGCAGACGACAGTGTGCTACTGAGTGAGATCCAGGTAAGTTAGAAGCTTTTCTGAAAAGTTTGAGTACTAGTGTAGCCATGTTCGGTATGCGTTTTGCACCTACAGAGTGTAAAATGCTACTACGAGACTGGGTTGGTTCTACACCAAGCCTCACTCTAACTGGGGAATTAATAGAGCAAGTGGATAAGTTTTGTTACTTGGGCAGCTACATCTCACCCCGTGGACGCCTCACGGATGAAGTGTCAGCTCGCATACAGAAGGTTCGGTTAGCATTTGCTAACTTGAGACATCTGTGGCGCCGTCGCGACATCCGTTTGTCTGTGATGGGTCGAGTATATGCTGCGGCCCTTCGAATAGTTCTGCTATACGGCCATTAGGAAAACAGGATAAAGATAGACTCTC